AAAAACGTGAAATATATCTAAACATTTGATAAAGACTGAGATATGCAAATATTTTTCTTGCAGAAACGTGAACTTTAGAATCTACTTTTTAAGTTATAATGCAGGGGTTGGCAACGTTTTTGGGTCGAGTGCCACAAACAACCGCAACCTCGATTTGTAAGATGTTAGCATGCCAGGGGTGGGTGGCAGGGGAGCCATGGGGGGCCTAATCCTTGTTGTGGTTAGCATAGCTCCAGCCCCTTCCTTGCCATCCACTCCAAGGTGTGCGTGCCAAGGAAAATGCCTTTATGTGCCACACTCTGGCACCCGTGCCAGGGATTGCCTACCCCTGTTATAATGTATTAGACACAGAATCATAGAAAAACAGGGTTGGAAGGGTCCTCAGGAGGTTTCACACTCAACACAGGAACATCTTCATCTAAAACATCCCAGCAGCTTCTAGGCACTCTATTGCAGTGTTCCAGTACTATGCTGTCCATTAGTTCACTAGTTCTCTGAGCCTGTGAAAGTTTGCTTTTCTGAAGTCCAATGTATTCATTCTGCTACTAGGGGTGCACCGATAAAGATTTTTGGGGCTGATACTGATAGCCGATATTTAAGGAGGCATATCAGCTGATACCAATCTGATTTCTGATACAGCTGCCTCCACCTGGTAAATCTGGTATGGTGGAAAGGGAGTGGGGAGGCAGATCAACACCCCCATTGTGAGGGATGGGCAGGTGCTACCCAGGTGTGGGGGGCGGGGGAAGGTGGCTCCTGCTGTTGCTTGCACCCCAGGAGGGCACAGGGAGGGGGCATGTGCCCCCCAGATCTGCGCAAGGCGGGGCGGGTTACAGCTGGGGCTGCACGGGTATCTTCTTGGTGGGGGCTGGCATAGAGCTGCAGTTTTGCTGGCATTGAGTTGCAGTGGCAGCCAGGCCCTAGTGCTGCCAACTTGATCCAACTTGGCCCTGCCACTAGAAAATGTTGCCAGCCTCTGGTCAAAAAGGCATGGTTCGGTGCAATGTACAGAGCTACGTGAGCTAGGTCTGAACAAAATAGCTTGGCTGCATGCATCAGGAAAGACACATTAGCATGGTGCTCTGCTTGGCTACTTTACCTTCCTGAGAAGGGGACCATGCAGCTTGTTTGGCAGACATGCCATGAATGCAAACAGCTAAGGGTGGACTTTGGTCTTTTAACTGTACTTACAGTTGGTTGGATTCTGCCCTTAGCAACAAATTTGGATCTCCCACTGCAAATCTCCCTTAAAGGTGGGGTAAATTAGAAGTAACTTCAGTGAAGTCAAAGCAGCATGGAATTGACTAAGTGACTTCAGTGGTCGTGGTCAGCTGATGCATGCGTCTGTAGATGGAACTTGGCCCAGAGCAAGTACAACTAAAAGTTAAAATCTTCAAGTGGTTACCTGGGCAAGGTCTCACTGCATGCCATTGGGAATTTGTCTCAGTAAAATCTCAGATTTGATTTAAAAAAGTGAATCAGGAAGACAGAAATCGTTGTGGACATTTTAAAGTGCTATTATGTGACAGGCCCCCCACACTGGTGAAAAATATTTGTTCCAGTCAAGCTCAGGCTCTTACTTCCAACCAATTGATAGGGACTTGAATTGAAATAAGAAGCTTGAATCAACTGTAGAAAGAAGCAAGTGCATGTGTGAAATATGCACAGACTGCTCTTTGCAAATGAAGAAAAATACACATCTTCCTACGTGTGAAGAATGTGAAGGTGAACGCTATAGATGGTGTTTTATATGCAAGCAGCAATGACAGCCCTTTTGTTAACACCAGGGGCCAAATTCAGATGCAGTGTATGCAGGCACAACTCCACTTAACTCAGTTTACACTCAGTCTGAATTAGAGCTGATATGTATTTCAGTTACTACTACTATAGAACTGTATCATATTTATGCTAAATGGATTCCATAGGCTATCCTCCCCCACTGTCACTGTAACAAGCACAAGCTAATGGAAAATTACACACGATAGAAACATAATACACTAGACCCTGCGTTGCAAACCTGAGCTGGCTTCAACAACTTTCAGTGCTAGTTCAGGTGGAAAACAGGCAGGATGACAGAAAGAACTAAAGATGCTACTGTTACTGTAACCAGAGACGCCTCTAGCATGCTGGTGCTTGAGAAGGCAGGGGCTGGGACAGGAGGGATGCTTTTTGTTATGGCTATTTATAATATAGCAGAAATGAGTAATTTCCTTTCCCAAGAAGAATGGCACAGCTTATGACACTTCATGTTCTCCAACCAAATGCAATTAAGAAATGGTGTGTACACATTTGTTTGACTTCCTTCTCTTTTTACCCTTGATCAAAGTCATAAAACTAAGAAAAAGAATGCATGTTTATATTGTAGAGGTCACTGCTTGATCACCATGGAATAAACAAGTTCTCTGAGTAGGAACACTAGATAGGGAAGCAGTGCCTTCCCTTCTCTGCAAGGGCGAGATATATCTTGCTTGGGTCACGCTCATAAAGGTGGGCTGGCAGCTCAGGTGTCAGGGATGTGTGATGGGATGTTGTGGGTAGTAAGTGGGGATGTGATCAGAGTTGAAACCAGCAGGAGGAGATTAGAAAGAAGAGAGACTGGTTGCTGTAGCCAAAGCTGAGAGAGTCCAGTGATATTAAGCCACCTTGTTAATGCCTGGGGGAAAAAAAGAAAAGAGGTGGGGACTCTTTCCTGCCTCCCTATCCTGGGAAGGACACATCAAAGGCCTAACTTACCCTCTCTTTAACATGGTGCTTGGCTTCCACACTTTTACTGCCTTTGGTATAAGCAGTGACAGCAGCTGACTTTCACCTTCCCCTTGTTTGATGTGGTTTATGTATACTGGCCTGCCTGTTGAGACACTGTTCTTTATTCAGAAAACCCCTTAATTGTTCCCAAACCCATCTATTCCTGTGGTAACCAAAATACAACCAGATCTCTCTAAGATAGCAGAAAAAAATCTCTTTAAAGCAAGTTAGGCTTTACCTAACTCAGATTTAAGGTGACATATTAGTATAGGAGAGGTAACAGACCAAAAATGTGTTTAAAGTCTAGGCTGGACAAGGGACACGACATTCAGCATGTGCTAAACTGATTGCTTCAAAGTTTATGAAGGAGCACAGACCCACATGTGTGAAAGGCAGGCTGCCTTATCTACATTACACTTAGGCTATAGACAGACATGTATTTGTAGTGCTACAAATAGAGTGCTATGGGGCATACAGGCATTCCTACTCCTTGGCTGGAGAGCTACAATGTCACCTGCCTTGACAGCAAGGGTATTGAGCACAGTTTGAAATAGGCTTTCATGGGTGTTTCAAATGGGTTAGCTCTTTTAAGGAACCTTAAACAACCAGGCTATTTATTTTGGGGCAAATATGTGTGGACACTCAGAATAAGAGGTCTGAGTTTACATTTTTGTGCATGGACACTCTTATTTCAGAATGCAAGTGGCTAAAACATAAGGTAATTTTATTCAAAAAATAGTGTTCACGCACAAAAGTCCACCACAGTAACTAACTAGTTTTAATTCACAGGGGGGTGTTTTCAGTGCAAGTTTGCATGTTGACCAGGACCCACTTGATTCAAGCAAAAAAAATGAACATCAAACCCGACATCAACTTGTCTCTTAGTCTGGACATAACTACAGGGTCATCTCTGTACCAGAATCAGCTTGAGGTCTCAGTAAATGGCATTAGTAAGTTTGGAAGTCTCTCTTCTGTTCACCAAGCCATTAACTGGCAACCTGCTGCTGCTTTACCTCTCCACACTGACTGGAACAGACAATGATTTGCCACTTTAAGCTTCTGAAACTTGTAAGTCCCATGACTCTCTATTGCTGAAATATGGAGGTTCTCACAGAGGGCTTCCTGCATGGCAGCTAAGCCTGACAGGAGTAGCCAACTCTCTCTTGTCTTTTATAGTAAATCACTGCTACATTCTTTTCCTTCTCTAATAGAAAGGGAAGTCAGGGTCATATCAAAAAAGTTAGCAGTTCAATAGATTTAAAAATAAAACCCACTTTGAGACCTGGACTCAGTTCCTTAAGGGCATTTATAACTCCAGGCAGACAGTCCTTGTGTGAGTGCGTTCAGGACATAAAGAGCTTTGTAAAAATGTTCCAGATATTAAGCCCTCACCTATTCCAAACTATTTCAAGACACTCCTTGTGATAAAGCTTTTTTATTTTAAAAGTACAGGTATGGCTATACCCCATGTAGGACTTCCAAGAGCCCAGAAGGAACAAAAGAATGGAATCCAATGTGAAGTCCGCTTTGGTTCTCACTATAAAAATCTAACTTTGCCATACAGCTATTTGTTACTACAGAGATGGATGTGAGAGAAGCCCCTAAGATGAATGTCCTGGTACGATCCCTCTGTTGGGAGCAGAAGTGACTTGTGTGTGCTATCAGGCTAACTGCCATGCCCAGCCACTGGATTTTAAAGGAGAGTTCCTCCAGAAGCCCCAAGATTGAGGATTATAAACAAATGTTAGCTGTCTTTTCACATATGCCTAGAAGAACAGTTATCCTCCCTGGAACCTGTCTACCTAACCATCTGGAGCAGCTTGCAACTCGACTAGGATGCTGCACCAATTAAAACTACCCACCCATGACCCCTGTTAAAGTGACCTGCAAAAACTGGCCAGCTCAACCAAGTCACCTGGGATATCTCCACAGATGACTAGGTAAAAGCTTTCCTCCCTAAAGTGCCAGAAAGTCAATTTTGAGATGCACGGCATTTGCGGTGGCATATCTTTTCCTTGCCAGGGGTTTTGATTAGCTTGGGTAACTGGCACACAGCCAAGATATTTCTCTGGTTAGAAGAAGTGACTAAAACACCCTGAACTTTTTTCTTCTTCCTTAGTAATAAAAGCTGATCTAGGATTGTTAGCATCACCAAAACATCAACTGATAACACATGAAGTCAATTTTGATAAACATTGTAGACATGTCCAAAGCTCTTGTTGTCACCAAAGCTTCATCCTTTTCTCTGTACTTACTGGTGGGCATTGTGCAAGTTTATCAGCTGCCACCAACTGAACATTCAGGTGTTTACTTTGTGATTTTCCTCTAGATTTAATCAACCGCTGCAAAACCTGATAGAGGAAAAGAAAACAAATGTGAGTGTAAGGGTCATACATATCCAGCAGCTTCAAAGATCCAAATGCCAATGGTAGGACTGCCTAAATTAAAAAGCTTTCATTTGTGCTGTTGGAACAGGGTGTAAGGGAAGGAGAGGAGAGGGGGTTGTAACAGAGGGGCCCCGTCCCTTTATGAGGATGCATCTGGCAAAGCCAGCTGTGTGGGGCCACAGATGCAGGAGGGCAGCCTGGCCCATACTTAACAGGGAAAACCCTGCATGGATCTGGGGAAGGCATGTGACAAAAAGGGGGCATGGCTTCCAGGTATATAAACTGAGGACCTGAGTGAGAGCAGGCAGTCTGGCCCTGCATGCTGCAGGGAGAGGAGCTCCTGACGGAGATGCCTGCAGCACACAGACTAGCAGGCACCTGAGCTGTTCCTTGAAGCTGCCTGGAGGGAACTAAGGGGAGCTGATGGCCTGAGTGAGGCAACAACCTAGAGCAGGTCTTGTATTTATGTTCTAATATAAGCTCTACACTGGTGGACCAGGTGTGGCTATAAGGGGAGAAGCAGAGGACTCAGAGGGTGCCTGAGCGACACATCAAAGTTAAAGCCCTGTCGGAGGCAGGGCATAAGACATGGGACAGAAGCACAAGCACTTGAAAGTCAGGCAGCTGAGCCCCGTTAAAGGGCCAGAGGCAGGTATACCGAAAGCAGCCTTGCCCTGGGCCAGGCATGCCAGGTGGGCTACGACAGAAGCCTGCTGCCAGAGAAAAGGGAGGCTAAAGGCAAGAGGGCAAAAAGGACTGAGGACTGAGTAACACCTGCGAGGTATGGGTGTAGCTGTAGGGGTGGAACAAGGCCACAAATTTTGTCCTAAAGGCTGGCAGAACCTAAAGGAAACGAACGCACAGAGAAAAGAGAGCACCCTAGGCTCCCCAGCCTTCAAGGGCAGCCTCCCCTCGCTACCTGCAACTAGACATGGCAGGTGAGGAACTAGGGGGAGACCCTGGGAGGCAAGGGTTTGAGCCAGGCAGGACTGATGAGGCCATTATGGCAACCCCCGGGCACCACACCTGTCACAGTTGTGTTTAACGTAGTACAGATATAGACACAAACACTTCAGTTAACTTCACTGAGATCTGTGCACACTAGCTTAGCACTATGAAATACAAAATGTGAGTTTGCATTGTTCCGTTGTCACGTATCAAGCTATTGTTGACAAACAATTTCGTAGAGAACCATTCTCCAAAGCCTCTGAAAATTATGGCATCACCAGTTTGATTAGAGCATAATCACAGTACTAAATTATGCTGTGTAAGAGTGAGATTACAGCTACCTAGCTTGCTCTGAAGTATATTTTGGGTAGATGCGGTATTTTAATACCCAGCAATCATATTATCTCATCATTTTTATTGTACTGTGCTCATTTTGAGAGCTTAGAGGGAGGGAAAATTAGGAATTCTAAATTATTTTTCTGTAAACTATTAAAGAAAATTATAGTATCAAAACCCCCTACCTATGAGCCTTTGAACTGAAAGGATGGGAAAGGCGGTGCCCTTAACCCTAGTGCTGTAGATCCTGCCCAATGCACTGCCATGATCTCTTCTACTTGACCCTGCATTTGACTCAACAGAGTGGGATAGCAAGTACAACCACCAGCAGAGCAGGAACATAACAGTAGTCACGCAAATTAAAGTGTCAAGGGACTGTGCAAATTGTGTACTAAGTTTATCTTTCTTAAGAGCTTTTTATTATTTTAATTGCCTTAAGTGGCACTATTTCTCCTACAGAATGTAGGCCAAACGCCCAGCAGGATATATTGCTGTATGTCCAATTACTCCATTTGGGAATTTGGACCTTTATTTTTAGAAGTGTTTTTTGGAAACATGAAAGGTACTTACTATAAACAGTACTTACTACTGAAGGGTTTTACTAGATAAAATAGCAAGTACCATTAATAAAGAAAGCTTTCTACTATTCACTAAAAAATACAGGTGTTATAGAATAGCATAATAAGTCTGAGAGTAACTGATAAACTTTAGAAAAAGATCTAAAAGGGTAAGGTCTTGTCCATATTAAAAATATGCAGCAGTTTCCTTAAAATCATTGTTTCAATTCCAACTAGTGCAAACACCTGTAAGGATATTCTTAAATTAAAGGAAACTTAATTTTAGTCAAATTTGGTCACCTGAATTTAGGTAACTCAGTTTAAGCCAAGTTTAAAATCTATGTAATAATACACCTTAAGTGGTACAACTTCAAATGCAGACAAAGGCTAAGGGCCAGATCCACAAGATTACTTAGACCAGTGGTTTAGCGAGCATAGGCTGCCCTCTGCAACCCAGTCCTGCTGCAAGCTGAAAGTCTTCACCCCCACAGCTGCCAGCTGCTTGTGTTTACCCTTGCTGGTGACCCCCATTTCCTCTGCAGTGACTGTAAGTGCAGATGCAAGGGAGCTCTACAGAGGGGATGCTATCAATCCCCTGTGTCAGATTGGACCTTTGCAGGCCAGGCTGGATCCAGCCCACACACCATACATTGCTAATCCTGGGGTCAGGCAGATTTTAGCTGCCTCAATACACAACTGCAATCAAAACCCCCTCTCATCATCTCATCCTGGAGTACCTAACTCTCAATAGGTGCCTCCCTGTTTGACCTAAGTGCCCTCTGGGCATGTTTCACACTCCTCCAGCCTGCACAGCTACAAACCTAACTCTCAGATGGGCCCAATCTGATAGGTGTGCTCAAAGCATGCCTAACACACCAACAAAATTCGGTCCCCCAATGACACTTTCTATTGCTTTCTTTTTAAACAATGGCTCCTAGACAATGGCAGTGGTCATTTGTTTATATAGTAGCCCTAGGGCAGTGTTTCTCAACCTTTTTAGATTTGTGGCACCCTTTGATCAATGCCACACACCCCTTGGAAAATGCTGGCTCCTTATTTTCTCTCGGTTTTTGACTACGGAAAAATAATAGAGCAATTCTTCTGTTACAAAGAACACAGAAAGATCACAACAGGTCAGAATGTTTCAATGCTACAGATTTCTGTTTGAAATCTCTATGGTTTATTTTGTGAAAAATATTTGCATACCTAACAATGCTAACATTGCATAGCACCCCAGGACATTCCTAAAAGGATCTCATGGCACCACCCTAGGTAAGAATCACTGCCTTAGGGTTAGATTACTATACAAGAAGTGGAAGACTTTGGTTATAGGTGCATTAGCCTGAGAGGATTCACCCCATATTTCCTATTTCTCAGAAGAGTTTCCTAACTACCTGGATAGAGGCTAGGCTGAGTTAAGGAGCATTCTTCACCTTTCCTGTTCAAACTGTACCACTGGCAGAAAGGAATGCCAGGATGATAAGTCAGCAGGACAGGCAAAAAGGAGTAGGTATTAGTTGCTCAGTGATGAAGGAACTCATGTAGAGGGAGAGTCCTGGTTTCTGGTCCAAGTTCCCAGGATTGTTCTGCATTTTACATTCAAAGTTCATTGGATTAAAATAGAAAAAACTCTAGGCTGGCTCTGAGACTGCCTACAGAATTGCATCCATCAGATGACACAGGCAGAGGAATATCATGCTTCCCAATGGCTAGCTCTTAGTGACTCACTGTTTAGTGTGCTGGCGTTTTAGATTTCCCTTCTGAGGGGCCTAATTCTCCCTACACAGCAGTCATGGCATCCAGGCTCATGTATACAAAGTTACTAGCGACCTTAAAGAATGTAAAATAAATTTACTCCTGTGGCTTACACAAATAAAAAAGATGGTTTAAGACTGATTTAATCTCCTGTCCCTAGAGACAGTTGCTCCAGGTAAGGACTAAAGGACACCAGTGGGATAGGGGGAAGAACTGACAGCTGAGCTGAGGATAACCAAAGGATCTCCAGGACTGTCAATCCAGCACCCTTTATAATACACTGATGATGATACACTGCAAGTTTGATTCAAAAATACATATCAACTTTTAAGGCAAATAATTGCATGAGAATTTTAATATGAAAGGATTCTCCACCCCACCCCCATCTTTCCCTCCCCCTGAAGGGGAAAGAGTGAGAGAAAGTAAATGGACCAACAGATAACTAATGCTCATTGTAACTTAGTGAGCTAATAAAAGGGGCTAAGACACAGTAGGTGCATCTACATATACAGTTAATTCAAAGCAATAAACTCAGGTGCATATTGTGCAGGAGTTTATTTCTCCCAGGTGCTTGGTTTGAACCTGTGCCTGAGGCCACAGCATGCTGGGCTGGGTTGGAGCAGCCCCAGCTGGCAGGAGGCCCAAGGAGTCAGCCTGCCAGCCCAGGGCTGCTCCAACCCAGCTCAACATACTGTGAAGGGGCTGGCTGGGACGTGAGGGTGCTCCAGTGCAGGGCTTGCTGGCAGGCAGCCCTTGAACTGAAGTACCCTCGTGCCCCAGGCAGCCAGGTCAGCGCCTACACTTGTGTTACTGTGTACTAAAAAACTCCACCGCAGGACAGTACTTGTATTTACAAATACTAACCTGTGGCAGAATTGATTAATTTACTGCAGCCTAATAGGCCCACACATGTAGATGCCAACACGTTTACTGCGGACCTAATTAGGTAAACGTCTCATGTAGACAGTAAATGTCTCGTGTAGATATGCCCATTGATGAGTGTAGCACCTGATAGCATGTACAATAAAAGTTTTCTTCCAACATGAGCACATTTTGCTGACATCAACACATGATTTTCAGGAGGATGGAAATCATGCCCTGACCCAGAGGATGCTGAGAATGTTACACTTTAAAAATAAAATATATACACTAAAGTTGAATTTGCATTACCTTCGGAGAAGACACTTTAACGTGGACAATAATCGGTGCTAATGACGTCTTAATAAGTTGTGCTGGATGATTGATAGTATCAGCATCAAGGACCACCAGTTGTAAGGACCTGGCCAACTCAAAGATTCTTTCAATTTCACTCTGCACTTCAGCTAAAAAATGTAAACGAACAGGTCACAGATGCTCAACTCCAATATTATTAGGCAAAAATCACACCACCCACGTACACATACAACATATATAAACTTAGTGTGCAAATGAGTATGTAACCTTTACAAAGACGACTAGAACCAATAATTCAAATGCACAACGTACATTTTTAGGCAGTTGTTTTAAAATGGCATTTTGGAGTCAATCCAGTTTATCCTGACAATATGTATTTACTATATTACAAAATTTACTTGCATACCACATGCATCTTCCCCTCCCCCCGCAAAAAATTATCCAAAACTGAGATGCAAGTTTTAAGCAAGGAAGCTGATTTATATGCCAGAATGGAGGCATCGGCACACTGGAATGGCTCCTGAGGGCTGGTTTCATGCTCGGCTCTAGGTGCGTGCAAGAGGGGAGGAGTCTGCTGTTCAGTGTCACTCTTTCTCTCCCCACTGTTGAACTAGCAACTTTTGGCTGAGTAGCCAAGAGCTGCTGCCAATTTGACAGCAGCTGTGATGGGTAAAAGCTTGAACTGCAGTGCTTCAGCTTGCAAGGGGAGTGACACTAAAAAGTACCTATTCCATGCATTCAGCCATGACTCTGGAAAAATATTTCTCTCTTCAATCTGCCTTTCCAAAACAAGGTGCATGTCTTATCTGGGGCATGTGGTATGCAAGAAAATATGGGAATTTATAAATTTAAGATATCACTCCCAAGAACATAATTAACTATATACATGCAAACAACAAACCAACTCTGGTGGATTTGCAACAATTCCTAAGTTACTTAGGAGTTGTAGGAGTTATTTGTTGATTGGATAATACTACTTTGCTTCAATCTTGTACTAATGTTCTAACTTTGATCTTTGTGAAAAACTACTGAGTTCAACAGTAATTCTGTATGATAAGCCAGCAGAAGAATAACCAATGAGAAATTAACTGGTTATGATAAATACTGACAGCATATTAACCAGACAGGCACAAACAGGAATGTTTATAAATGTTGTATGAAACTTGTATCAAATGTTGTATGAAACTTGTATCAAACTGTTGTATGAATTATACGTTTTTATACAGGAGAAAGGAAGAAACATTCCCATGTAAATGACACACTGAGGCCCTTCACTGTTACACAACTATAGGAAAATGAACAATTTTAAATGGATAAAAGTCAGCAAAAGTCCAATCCTGAAAGTTACAGTATGTATGTATAGAAATGAGATGTGCACTACCCATTCACATGCTTTTCATCAACCCAGTTTTTCCTCCAGTAATATTTAAAGCATGTGATTATTTATTAACACTTGCTCTTGGGTGTTTTGGTAAGATCTAACATCTAGATAGATGCCTACCCTCACTCTTTTAAAAACTGAGCAGCCCCCACTTCTTTCTTGCAAAACAACTGGAGAAGGAAGACTTTCTTCCTTCATGCGGTAAGTCAGTGTCAAGACCAGGGTTTAATTCTTCTCTCTGCCTGAAAATATTCAAATCCACATCTCCTTCCTCCCTGGGGTGGGGGAGAGAGAGAAAGACTGGATCTGTACCCTAGGGTTTAGGGCATTCCCTGGGTGGGACGTTATCTAGGTTCTAATGACTGTTTAACTTAAAATACAAAACCAGTCCTGGCAGCAGGAACCAAAACCCTAGGATAGAGTCATGTTCACTCCTGTGCATTTTCTCTTTGTCCCAACGGACCTATAATTCTTTTAGGCAAAGTGGCACAGTTTGAACAGAGAGAAGGGAAAGTGCCTCTACCCAAGGACAACCAATAGGCCAGTGGTTGGGGCACTTTTCCAGAAGGAGGGCGTATGGATTTGAATCTCCCCAGGCAGAAGGGGGGGAATTGAAGCCAGCTCACTCACAGCCTGAGTACAGAATGCTTTAATACTGACTTAACGACTGAAGGGAGCAGGAGGCAACTCCTCCTTTTGTTGCCATGTTTACATGAAAGAAGTGGGCCTTGTTTGTATTTTGAAAGAATGATCATAGACAACCATCTTCAACCGAGGGCCAGGTCTGCAAATCTTGAGTGCAGGGGAATGTCTCCTTGTAGCAGTGCAAAGTTCCATGAATCCCAACAATTTTGGTGCCTGGTCCAGCAGGTTTGCTCTGAGAATATCTATAGAATCGAGCCCTTTGGACACAGGAACATCAAGTTTGTAAGTCCCAATGTGCCTCAATCCTGAGCTAAATTTCAGACTGCCCACTACTGTCAAGATTACAGCTGGCTCAGAAGAAGAATGTCACACTTGGGAAATGTCAATTGCCAAAATATTGATGCCAAGGGATTTTAGTTGCTTCCAGTGTTAAGGAGAAACTAAGTGAGGTGCCTGAGGACTGACTTTCTGGACAAAGGCATTTAAGTCATGCCTCTAAGTCCTTTTGTATATTTAGCTGTTGATTACACCTTGCTTAAACACTTAATAAAGTGCTGTGCTTTGTCTAGCCATTTCACAATCAGCTGAATTTCATTCATAGGAGGTGCTTTCTCCAAATGAGACATACGCAATTTGGATCATGCATGTAAACCCTCTGTGCTCCAGTAAGGGAAGAAACCACTTTGGTTTATGTTCAGATACTGTTTATAGACCCAATTTAAAGCCCTCTGAAGTCAAGAGAGAGAATTCTTCTACTCACTTCCCTATGGTAGATCTTCTTGTGCAAGCTTGGAAGCGTTAAAACAATAAAGCCTCCTGAAGAGACAGTATGTGAGATTAACTGCACCTGCACAGAGGAGGAAGCTGCTAAAACCAGCTAAGGAGGCCTAATACATGGCTAAGAAGAATTAGAGAGCCTTGGAGTAGTGACAAGCCATATCTACCTACTTCCTAATTTCCAGACAAGATAAAAGAATTGCAACACACAAGTTAAAATTATAGTGCACCAAGCGTTAGGGAGTAAAGACAGATTAGTTATTAGATATCACATAATTCAGAGACCAGTGTTGAGATGTGATTACTACTCTGACTGGTCAGCAAATATATGAACAGGGATTGTACCTGTGTAACTAACTAGGTGATAGCTAATGACTGAATTATGCATCCACACATTTATTTGAGATACATAATTGTGAAAGACCTCAGATGTGGATACCTTACACCTATCCCCTTTATTGGCTAGCCTGATCATCTTCCTGACACTGGTTATACTCACTGTGCCTGTCTACTTGAACCATGTTGCAGTAGGAGCTGACAACCCCCTTGGGAGCAAAAACACCTATGTGAAAAAGATTTATACTGGTGCTAAGAAGCTCTGGAGGACTGCTAAAAAGATCCTTCATCTGGAAAGCGCACAGGTTTTGTGATATCCCAGGGGATCATAATCCATGCCCTACAAGAACTTGTTTGTTTTCAGCAATGGACATTATAAGCATTTCATGTTTATAAACAAAGCATTAACACTTTTAAAGCTGAAATCTTGTCATTTTCCTCCAGGATATAGCTATGGAAGTGTACAGGTGTTCTTTCCTGCAGAAGAAACTCTTCCTCAGGAGAGATCTTCCTTGATAAGAGAGGAATACCTTTCTTCTGCAGGAGGCATTTTCCCTGTGGGAGAAACTGGATGAATGCCTGTACGCTTATGGTTTCTATCAGGAGAGCAGCTATTCTCCTGATAGAAACGTAATGCCTGCATGTGGCCTATGTTCAGTACAATATATGTGCCAACATCTTACCTAAACTGGATCTGGTGTTTGACCGTTCAATTATTGCCCTCTTGCTTGGATTATTTAAGACAGACCTCTTAGCAAGAGAAATGTCGGCTGTCACTCTAGTTATTGATATCCTATGAGTAAGAACACAGGACAGAACAAAAACAGTGCAGTCAAATTTTTACTGTACCATATGTGATTTACAACTACTTTGCATTACAGCGTGCCAATACGGTATAATACTAGTCAAATATGTTTTATAGGTGATTTCTATCACTGCTGAAATAAAAACAGTAAGGATAAATCTCTCCCACCACGTAAACAAAAATGTCCCACAGTCATACAAAATGTTCTGTTTGCTTCATTTATAACTATATTATATGTATTTTTGCAGTCAATTTCCAATATCAACTCACTGTCCTAGTTTGTGTGTACGTGTGTGCATGTATAGCTGCCTAGTTTTAGACATAAACACTCTGTAAAATAAAGTATGTGATATTAGAAATAATTTTACTGGATAAACCAAGTCTTGGTCCAAACTGGAAGAGCAGTCACAATACGTATAAATACTTCATCTTCAAAGCAAACATGTTTCATTTAAACTATGTTTATTTTACAAACATTAAATAATCTTCACACAAATAGTCAGGTTAAGTATGGAATGTAGTCCTGAAATTACAGTTTGGAAAAACAGAAACAGAGAGGTTCTTTCTATGCATTTAAATGGGCCTCAGCACACATATCTGCCTACCAGTCATTAACAGATTTATTCTTATCATAGAATCAGATCACAGAAGTAGAGTCGGAAGGGACCTTGTAGATCTTCAAGTCCGACCCCCCGCCTGGGTGGGAGAAAAACTGGGCTCAAATGACTTATATAAACCTTGCTGACATAGGGGAGAACCATCATCCATTGGCAGACAGAAAACTGTGGCTTCCCCAAGGTCATACAGGAAAGTCTCTGAGTGAGTCAGTAATTCGCACCAGTCTAAGTCGCAGTCAAGTGATAGCCAGTCATGGGAATTAACTACTTAATTAACTAGTTAAAAAGTTAAAACATTAAATTTTTCAGCTGTCAACTTTTAACTTTAACTAGTTGAAAAAAAAGGTTACACTTTAAAAAAAGTTAAAGTTAAGTTAAAAGTTTACAAAAAATTGAAATCTGGTTTTCCCAGAGTTTTTCCTGACACAGCCACTCTCTAGGACTGACATGGAACAATATTTCCTAATTGAAACTCTTGGACTTCTTGTTTGAGAGAGAGAGAGAGAGAGAGAGAGAGAGAGAGAGAGAGAGAGTAGCATGCCTTCCTATGAGATATCGTCTCTTAAGAACTACAAATCCCAGAGGTCCTTAGTTCATGCTGGCATTTTCTGTGCATTTGCAGAAGTCAACAGAGCAGCCAACAGGAGAGGGAACAAGCACAAGCAAGCAGAGGCACTGATCCCAGTGAGAGTGGGAGCAAGTAGTGAGGGTGAAGCAGATGATATCTTTTTTAATTTTAATGAAGACCAAAACCAGCAGCCCAGGGCCCAAAAAGTTGATCATTACTTCTCATCTGTGAGAAACTTATCTGAGATGCCACCTACTGTGAAACCTACTCATCCATTATAACACACGCATTCCCTCATGTGCCCATGTAGAGCAATTGTTCAGCAGTGGGGGCTTAGTTTTGCGAGACAGAAGAAGAAAATTGTCAGATGTAAATTTTGAAATGCAGCTTTTGCTGAAGTTCAATAAGTAAGTTTAAACAGTTTCTGCTATGCAACTGAACATTCCTTTTCTCATTAAAACTTATTTTCTCATTTCAGTCTGATTTTGATTTTCAGACACTTTCATTATTTCTAATTCAGATGTACTTCATACTCTTTTGTTACCTTTTGAGCAAGAACAATTGTAACAGAGGTTTTCTGTGGAAACAGCTTTCATTTGTCACCTGGCTATAAATATCTCTGTTCTGTTATTCTGCTTTATCTATTGACTTTTACAAAGTATTTCACATGGAGAGGGTGAGAAGGATCTAACATAACATAGGTACTGGTAAATTGTTATTCTGAAAACTGTACAACACGTATAACATTGTTTTCAGGTAAAGACGGGTGAGCTCCGAGTAAATTAGTGTGCTTCTGTGGGTTTATGGAAAAGAAACCCACTCATTGCATTTGAAAATGAAAAATGATGCTAAGAGGCAATTCACTGTGTTTCACGCATTTCTCACAAGTCAACTTAACTTTTAACTGGTTACTCTCTTTTTAACTTACCTTTTAACTAGTTGAAAGTGGAAATATTTAACTTTTTACTTAAGTTAATTTTAAAGGCTGCTAACTTTTAACTTTAACTAGTTACA